TTTCCATGTAATTATTTCGGGTAAAGCTAGCTGGGTGGCGGGATGCAGCCCACCGTTCCTTTCAACAGAGTGGCACCAGGAACGCAGCCCGCAGCACCTTCTACATCTACTCACCTGTTTTACTTAATTATACATTATAGTTTTAAATGAGCTGCATACACAATACCTTAATCAAGAGCAGAAATATAATATACCAAAATTGACCTTAAATTTGTATCAATAAACCAAGATCCATATCACTGCAAAGTATTCATATCTATAGCACATCCCCCTTTAAATGTAAACAAACATTTATAAACAATATTTGGGAATTTGGGTATAGTTTGCTCCAAACTGCTTTCTGCTTTTTGTTGGGTGAAATATTTTTGGTTGTTCATGGCCACCTTTTGGGGTGATCTTGGTTCATCAAACCACATTAGTCTGGAAGGAATCCACAGGTTCTCATCCTCTATGGAAACAAAAGCAGAACCTCTTTTCCAAAGCAATGTATTCTTAGACCGAAATTTTGAAGTCAAGATATCTTTAAAGTATATATGTTGGTTTAGCTTAGCAGCCTTTACAATGAAATGTCTCTCTGTACTTAGCTCATTCACTGTCAAAAAATTCAAAGAAAACATAATAATAAACATAATCCAGACTCTATGTGTATATTCCATCTTTATATGGCTTATTTTCCTTACTCTATTATTTCTCTACAAGTTTAATATTTATTTTCTTATCTTTACTCCTTTAATCCATGACTGTCTGTACTCTTTTATATCTCTCTATATCCTTTTTCTTCTCTCTCCTAAGCCTACATATATTTATCCAACACTGTGACCCATTTAGAAGTCTTTTTCATCTGAATCTGTCTTTATTGAGTGTGTATCTGTAATCTCTTTCTGACCAGGAGTACTTCTTAAAATGCTAAGCAGCCTGGCTAGGACTAAGACTGCTTTGCCTTTTGGCTCCACCAAGTCCAACATGGCAGAGGTGTGTTTACTGCCAACTCTGCAAGCCTTGCTCCATCCCAACTCCCGAGACTCAACAAGTCCACTTTGCCATCAATTAACCTGTAACACTCTGCTCACAAGCTCCATTCAAATGCTTGGCCTCCTGAAAGAACTACAGCAGTTCCTGCAAAGAGCACGAACCAGGAAGCCTTTTTAAAGGAGCCACACAGTTTTTGCTGCTACCACTGAGTCAGGAAACCTCTTAAAGGAGCCACGTCTCTGCTTCCTGCCAATAAACAGAGCCTATCTGGAAAAAAAAAAAAAAAACAAAAAAAAAAAAACAGCTACCAAGAAACTGTGCTTGGCTCCCATTTTTGTGGGTCTAGAAGCCCCCCTTTTTTAAAGCTTTTTTTTTTTTAGGTCTTATGTGGATCCATGCCCCCAGATGGTGGGTACCATTAGCATACAGAGGGGAATCTCACATCAGTCTTCCAACCTAAAATGTATAATATCCAGCTTACTGTCCTGTTCCATGTGTGTCCTCCCATTACTTCTTCTCGCCCTACAGTCTCCGTCTTGCTGCCACCCATCACTAGCTGTGCAGATAAGACAGCTCAGCCTGGTATAGCTTCATCCTTTAAGGCCTGCACACTGTGTCTGTTAAGCATTGCATCTGACTCTTAATTTTAAATCCCTCTGCCGTCATCTGGATAACATATGGTCCCATATTATTTTTGAAGTCTCCTAACGAGTCTGCATTTTCCTTGTTTTAGCCAGATCTGTGTTCTGCCCTAGTACTGGGGAGAATTTTCTAGCATATTTATTTGCTCATGTCATTCTTTAAAATATTATGTTGTCTTTTTTGAAGATGATCTCCAGAAAGGTCTGCCTCCTTACATGGCATGCAAAGTCTTTAGAGATCAGGCTCCTGACATCAATTGTCCTGGATTCCTATACTTTCCCGTGTTCTCGTTCAGCAACCAGGGTGCTTAGATGTAGCCTGAGGCTTTGCATAAACTGCACCCAAGTTTGCCTACTAATTCCCACCTACTCTTCAGGGCCTCCTTCCTCTGAGAAGCTGATCCCACCTGTCCAATCTTAAACCCAGTCTGGTGTAAAGGCCCTTCATTTCCACTTCACACTCTTATCACAGGCCTTTTGAGAGCTTTCTGTGCTCTGCTGTGGATGTCTGTGTGCCTTCTTTGTGAGCTCCTGGATGACAAGCTTTGTCTTAATATCTACTTCCCCAGTGTCCAGCACTAAATCTACTCTGTAGTAACCAAATATGTGTGACCTTGAGCATTTCAATATCCTGTCTCTCTTTATCTACATAGTCAACTTTTTCTCAGAGTTTTAGAAATGAACTACTGTGTACAAAGCATCAGTTGAATGTCCACCACACAATTCTTCTGGTTCTATAGTCCACCCAAAGAATGTGCTAGGACACTCATTGAATGTGTATGGAATGCTATTGAGTTTTAAAAGGATGTTTGACAAGTTCTCTAAGAGAAAGTTTAGAATATATGATCATTGTAATCATTTTATTTTGTACCTGTAAAAAATAGATAATTGTTTAAACATTTTAAATATCATAGGAAGTGATATTTGAATTAACAAGAAAAACTACAATATTAGATCTTGTCTCTGTGAATAAAATCATAGGATTATTGAAATATATGTGAGGTAAATGGGAAGATGTCCTGTGTTCCTGGAGTGTGAGAGAGATGCAGTCCTTCCACAAATTAATCAGAAACTACAGCACCCTTTTCACCACAGTCTCAAAGGCTTGTTTACTGCAAAACTGAAAATGGGGAGGGTATTCTCCATGTTTCCTTCACGTTCCAATGTGTCTTGTGGGCAAGGCACTCATAACTTACTTCTGCTGAGCTATCTTTCAAGTACATTTGTGATATGAACATCCACGAAGGAAAGAGATAGTGTTTCCTCCAAACCAAGAGTTTGTTTATTGCCCAGCAAGACAGAATATTGTCTTCTTGCAGAGGAAGATCCTTGCACTCTGTTGGTGTGGTGCAAACCTGTAGAAATCACAGTATCGACCCAGGCCCTTCTCCAGCACCCCTGGAATTTGAGCATCAGGCAGCAGAGACTGAGCATAAAACCTGTGCTGATCGTCCCACAGTGTCATTTTTGAGCTCCCATAACGATGTGCAGTCAAGATGTTAAGTCAATATGTTAACTTGTGGGGCTGGAGAGATGCCTTAGTGGTTTGCAGCACTGGCTGCTCTTCCAGAGGACCTGGTTTGCTTCCCAGAGCCCAGATGACAGCTAAGAACTATCTAACTTCAGTTCCAGTGGATCTGATACCCTCTTCTGAACTCCAAGGTCACCAGGCAGATACCACAATGCATAGACATACTTGCATACAAAGCACCCACACTCATAGCATAAAAAATAAAAATATTTAAAAGTGTGTTAGCTTGCAAGTTAGATGAAGTCTGAGATCTTTCAGTTCTTCACAGAATTCAAGGAATCTCCACCTGTAAACATTATTTAACACACTGACTTGTAAGGGTGAACAGTAAGAACCTAGCACAGCGCTTCCTCAAAAAGCTGAAAATAAACAGGTCAGCTGTTACTGCCAAGATAGACCATGTTCTTTGCTAATCCAACTTTTCTTCCCCCTTTAAGATGACAAATGTACCTCTAATTGACTAATGCTTTTCATCCCAACACTTTCTGCAGCTTCACTCTTGTTAAATGGACCATTTCTGAGTTTTTCTGTTAACATGTTCAGCTGGATTTTTTTCCCTCGGTGTTTATGTGCAGAATGTGGTTGTTTAAATATTTGCATTAAATAACCAAGACAGTTTCATTCAGGCTATTTCCCTTGAGAAAACTCTTTCCAGCTATTTTTCCACGTCACCATATCCCTCTTATTATACCTAAATATATCATAGTCGTTTTGCTGTTTACTCATTGCAAGGATAACCACATTGTAGGGTTAAATGCATTAGAGGGAAAGATAGAGGGCCATTAATAATGATTATGGAATGTTGTTTTGGTGCCAGGCGCTGCTGTTGGGGAGGTAATGGACATTGGGGAAATTAAAGATCATAAAAATAGTATTAATGTCCAGTTGTAATTTTAGCAAACTACTATCACAGCACAGTGTTCCATTTTTCACAAAGTTTAAATCACTCGGGCTGCATTAAATCCTTCTCAGAAGGAATTGCTGGATAACTAACACATAGTCAAGAAGCGCACTCAAAGCTCTTTGGGGATAATAGATATTGAGTGGTTTTTGATAAAACACGATATGGCTGGCCAATGTAAAGATCTTTTAAAAATAAGAGTAATATTTTATTGGCAGGGATCTTGAGCTTTGAATCTGTGTTTTCCCATCACTGATTTTTAATGTTTATACACATAGAATCCTAGTGTCAACTCAAATGTCATCCCTATTCTATAATTGTCAACCTCTAATCATGGTGGACAGCAGATAGAAGTGCCCTTTGGGATCTTCACAGCCATGTGGGGTCTCTACTCCATGAATGGCTGACTGCAGTGTAGCTCTGCAGCTGAGGGAGTTTGTCCCTCACAAGGCCTGGCCCTGGGGTTCTAACTGGCTTCACCACCCATGCATATATCCCCAGTGCTCTCTGGCTGCTTATGGCACTTCATGCGAGTACAGTCATGCTGTGTATCTTGTGACTTGTTTCTTTACTCAGTGTTTTGCATCTAGTTGTAGTATTTTGTTGCTGTTGCCAAGTAAACTTGTGTTGTATGACTCTTGCTCAGTTGATATACCCAGCCCCTGTTGGTTAGGTATATTGTCCTCAGTGCTTGTGACTACAGGGCTCAGAATACACATACACACACACACACACACACACACACACACACGCATGCATGAACACACGCCCTCTTTAAAATGGAAGCCCACAAACTTTTTCTGTAGACGAACATTTAGTACGTAAGATAGGCTTTGCAGAGTACATTGGTGTCTGTTACTTGCTCTTTAAAAAACACTATAAAAGCACTCTTAGCTGTAGGCCATAGTTTCTTTTTTCTTTTCTTTTTTTTTTTTTTTTTTTTTTTTGTGGGACTTTATGGGCAGCAGGGGCCACAGGACTCAGCCACCAGTACAAGTGATCTGGCCACCTGGCTGAGTCCTGTGGCCCCTGCTGCCAAGTAAACTTGTACACCGGTACAAGCCTGGATATTGGCAGAGATCTCGGCCTCCCACTTGTCCCCATTGTTGAGCAGTTTTTCCTTGTTGTACAGCAGCTCCTCATGCGTCTCAGTGGAGAACTCAAAGTTGGGGCCCTCCACAATGGCGTCAACAGGGCAGGCCTCCTGGCAGAAGCCACAGTAGATACACTTGGTCATGTCGATGTCATAGCGTGTAGTCCGGCGGCTGCCATCGGCTCTCGGCTCAGCCTCAATGGTGATGGCCTGCGCAGGACAGACATCCTCACAGAGCTTGCAGGCGATGCAGCGTTCCTCCCTGGATGGGTAGCTGCGCAGTGCGTGTTCCCCTCGGAAGCGTGGATTCAGTGAGCCCTTCTCAAATGGGTAGTTGATGGTGGCAGGCTCCCGAAAGAGGTAGCTCAGGGTCATGCCCGGTCCTCTGATGAGCTCTGTCCACATCAGCGTCTGAGCTGCACGGTCAGTCTCAGACTTCATGTCCATATCCAGCTCCTGTACATTCACATACTTGTATGTTGCTGCCACTGCACTGCTATGGAGGCTTCGGCCGCTGAGATGTTCTGTGCACACAGCCTGGGCCAGGGCCCGTGGCAGCATGGGTGAGGTCAGACGGTTCATCTTGAGGCGCGCCGGCTCCTTCACTCCCATAGTTTCTTGGAACTGTACTCAGATATACCTAAGAGAGGCTAAGTTTATCATCAGTTGTGGACACAGCCATTCTAACAGGAAATGGGAAATGTTTTCAGTGAGGCCATGCCTTCTTATCCTTCCATACCACAGCTGGATATCACTACGGTTTTCGCCTGCTTGTGAAGTGCATGCAAAGTGGCATCCAGTCGAGGGGCAAAGCATCCCTTCCTACAGTCACGAGCAAGCTCTGCTTAAGGGGTGTGTGTGTGTGAAAGAACGTTTCCCACTGCTATTGTGGGCTGTTTTCACATTTCTTTGCCAGGGAGCCCCCACAAAATACAGTAGAGTTTTCTTATCCAAAATGCTTCAGAGTTTTGTCAATGTTGGAATATTTGCATAGGCCTTGCTAGCTGAGCTGTCCTTGTCTGAAATATGAAATGCTCTTACCATCATGCTCATCAGGTTTCAGGTTTCAGGTTTGGGGACATTTGGGGCTTTTGTGTTGGGGTTGTAACTCTGTGGGTGCAGAGAATGTATTCTGAAACTTACCTTTTTAAAAATATTTATTTATTATGTATACAATATTCTGTCTGTGTGTATGCCTGCAGGCCAGAAGAGGGCACACAGACCCTATTACAGATGGCTGTGTGCCACCATGTGGTTGCTGGGAATTGAACTCAGGACCTTTGGAAGAGCAGGCAATGCTCTTAACCTCTGAGCCATCATCTCTCTAGCCCCCATGAAACTTACCTTTTTAAGAGTATAGTCTGGCACTTTTTAGCTTTAGTTGAATTAGGGGTAGTCTGTAGTCTGTGATGGTCCTTCCCATTCAGGACTGGGGATTGTGAACTTTGACCTTGAGCTTCTAAGAGACTTTTCACCTTGTTTATTTAAAATATTATACCTATTAATTTTCATGTTTAAATAGTTATACTTTATCTTAAAACTAATGTTTTGTATGATTGCATAATTACATTTCATTAACCAGCTGCCTGAGTAGTTTTAATAATATTCAAGCTTTGTAAGCATATTGATGATTTATTTTCTCAGACTAGGAGATTTGAACACTTAAAATAGGCTTAAGGAAGTGCCTTTAGGTTACAGGTTAAGCTGAAATTAAATAAGTAAATGAACATGCGGATGAAATGAACATTTAAACAGAAGTGCATGTTTTCTTTGTCAACAGTGAGAGCAAGAACTACTAATATTGGGTCTGCACTCCTTAATCATAGTCCCACCTTAAGAGAGCAAACTAAGTGACCTTTCTTTTACATTACTCTTATCTCTACATTTTTATTTAAAGATGCTTTCATTGTTAAATAAGGCAGAATTCTGTTATTAAATAGCCACTGTATGCCTGCTGGGTTAAAAATATGATACATTTCTAAAGTAATTAGCAATATATATAGAAAAGGTAACAGATTCCTACCCCACCCCACCACCAAAAAACTCCTTCCTGCTATAATGTAAACTATAGCATTCAACAACTTCAAATATTGACTGTGGAGTAGAATTTACTTGACTGTATTAACAATTACGTTTTGTATATAGAAGACTTCCTGTGACCACACAGGCCTTAAGTTTACATAGCATTATTTGTCTCAGTTCTGAGGCAGCTGGATATAGAAGCCCTGGGAAGACCTCAGCTCTGTCAGGATGTTCTGTGTCTGGCAGGCAGCTCCCTCAGTGGAGAGAGCACAGGAATGGGCTGCTGTTTCCTTAAATGGGTTCCCTGGGGCAGGTATGTGGTTTGGCGTCCCTCTGGTAAGGGGATCTCAGTCACAGAACAGAAGGCAACCTTTCAGTCTGGTGATACCACCATGAGTCCTTTCTCCTTCCCCTTTACTTGTCCTGTCCTGCTAAGTGTTCTTTCTCTGTACGCATGATTGCCTGGGATCAAGCTGGTTCATGGAGCTTGGTCTGCTAACCCTTCAGAACGGCCTGCTAAAGCTCACTTCACATTTCCTCGCTACACACATGCATTTCCTTCTGCTCACCCCAGGAAGAAGTTAGCTGCATTAAGCAATAACTATGGATTTGGTGTCTGGCCCGAGGAATTGCCATTGCGTCTAGCTTCCATGTGGAGCACAAAACCAGAGTCCTGATTTCCTCAGAACTGCTTTAGACCCCATAGACCCAACTACCTCAGAGAGCTTCTAGTGGCTCTTAAGACGCCTTTCTTGGTGGAAGTTATTCTCATCCTTGCCATTTACATATCTTATTTGACTTTTAAGCAAATTCTTATTTATTTATTTATTTATTTATTAAAGATTTCTGTCTCTTCCCCACCGCCGCCTCCCCTTTCCCTCCCCCTCCCCCAATCAAGTCCCCCTCCCTCGTCAGCCCAAAGAGCAATCAGGGTTCCCTGCCCTGTGGGAAGTCCGAGGACCACCTACCTCCATCCAGGTCTAGTAAGGTGAGCATCCACGAAACTGCCTAGTCTCCCACAAAACCAATAGGTACAGTAGGATCAAAAACCCATTACCATTGTTCTTGAGGTCTCAGTAGTCCTCATTGTCCACTATGTTCAGCGAGACCGGTTTTAACCCAGGCTTTTTCAGACCCAGACCCGCTGGCCTTGGTGAGTTCCCGATAGAACATCCCCATTGTCTCATTGTATTCTTAAGAGCAGCCCATTTGTGTTAATTGGCAAAACCCGGAACTCATATCAATGCATGTTAGAGAGACTTCCTCTATATTATTTTCTTATATTGCCATGGTGTACAGTCCTGGTAGACTTTAGCAAGCTGCTTCTTATTAAACAGAAAAGAAAGATTCCCTCAAAGTAGGAAAAGAACTAAAGCGTATGTGTTAGGTAGTGATTATGAAATATTACCCACACAGAAAAGGTCACTTTCTTCTTTTTTCTAAACAAAAAAAGTGAACATCCCTAAGTATTTTCTTTGGGAAAATACTTAAAACATATTACTTAAAAACCCCTCAGGTTCTTTGATAACCATTCCAAATTGATTTCACGTGACCTTCTGCTGCCACGTGATAGAACTTTTTCAGAATTGCCAATGCAATTCCCTTGCTTAATGACAGTTCTGATTTTAGCCTCAGTATGAAGGGAACTGCTTGCTCCGCCTTCAGGAAGATGGCATAGACATACGTTTCTCCATTCCTCTAAGTCCAACGAAACCTCAATGTACTGCATATGAATCAAGCATAAGACTCTAAGGACCCCAGGAATGATCCAAGGATATGACACTCGGGTTTTCCTTCTGCCTCACATATTCCAGATTTGGAGTAGAAAAAGTTATCGAAGAAACGACAGCAAGACTAATTAGCAAGAAAGCATACAACAACATCAATAAAAAAAAATAAAATCTGTTTTCTCTAGCCAGAGTACTAGAAATGGGATGGTGTAGAAAAGAAAACGTTCAAGCAACAAGTCTATACTCTTAAGAAACTACCCAGAGAAGTATAAACTCCATCCTGAGAGCACTCGCTAGTGGGGAGTAGTGGACTTCACTCCTGCTGGGCTGCAGTTCCCAGCCGTCCTCACCCGATGGTGTCAGAAGACATCACATGAGAAACAATGAGTGACTCCTTCCAGCCAGGAAAGTATCCGTGGAGACCTAAGGGAGACCCAGAGTCTCACTCCTGCCAGGCCTTCAGAAATCCCTTCAGACACCAGTGGAGTTGTTCCTGGGAATCCGATACTGCCTTTAGCACTAGTGACACCTTCCCCGTCCCTCCCCAACACAACTTCTCTTGCTGGAGTTGCTATCAGAAGAATGCAAGTTAAAATAGTGATCCAGCGATCTAACCTGTTTCCCAAAGGTCTACATTTCAATGAAAAGCAATAGCAAAGTCAACCCTGATACCAGGAACAAGGCAGCTATCAACCTGTGGGGGCAGTAGAGGCCAACACCAAGTGGCAGATGTTAGAGCTGTCGGCTAGACTTAGAGAATCCATCATTGTAAATGCGTCAGTGAACAGTCATGGACCAGCAGCTACAAATGTAAGCACTGAAACCCTAGCAAATCCATGGATATACAATGAAGAACCTAGTGCCATCCTGGAATGAAAAAGTAGAGTAGCCAGAGGGAGAATCCTAGCAGACAAGCTGCAGAGCTGAGTGGGACATGGCAAAGAATCAGTGGACTAGAAGTTAGAACCATAGAAATTATCCAGTCTGAATAATGGGGAGAAAGCAAACCAAAGAAACAAAATAACAGAACCCCAGTAACCTTCAGAGTGGACTGAAAATCTAACATTGTGCTTTTGGAGTCATCTAAAAAAGAATATAAAAAGGCAGGAAGCTAAAACATCTGAGTAGGTAACTGAAACCTACAAATTTGATCAAAAGATTTATTTATAAATAAATACATAAGAAGTGCAATGTTGTTGTCTGAGGTTTCTGTCCCACCAGGGACACTCTACCTCCCTAGTGCTGGGATTAAAGGCATATGCCACCACTGCCCAGCTGGGATTAAACCCAACTTCTTCTCTCTCTCTCTCTCTCTCTCTCTCTCTCTCTCTCTCTCTCTCTCTCTCTCCCTCCCTCCCTCCCTCCTTCCCTCCCTCCCTCCCTCCCTCAGAACTTTATCCTTTTACTTTTCTCTCTAAAGCCAATATATATTTTTAAACACACTGTAAACCGTTTAGAGGTTTTCTTTCATCTGAATCTCTCTTTACTGTATATCTCTCTTTTTCTGACTTTTTTCTGAGTCTTTAATTTGCGGAGCAATATGGGTAGGATTCGAGCTGTGGTTTTGACAACGGGATTCACCACATTCCTTAGCTTTCTGAGAGTCTAGCTTCATGGTGGAGGCACTGGCAGGAGCCATGTTTATTGGCACAACTCTATGGAGTTTCAAGGCCAGTGCTGCCACCAAGATGCATGCTGTTGGCTCGTCATAAACACCATTTAAATGTTTGCTGCCAGGTCCTCTTAACACAGCTGCAAGGTTTTGCACCTAAAGTTGAGTCAGGAAGCCTCTCTTAAATGAGACACTCATGCCTCTAGCAAACAGAGCCCACCTGAGAAAATGCTGCTA